GAAAGCCCCCTAACTGATACACATGTGGGCTTTATAAGAATTTTCTTTCTGAAAACTAGTATGAAAATGATCTTTCATTGTCCCCAAACCCTTCAGGCTCCCTATAGATAAAAAAAAAATTAATTCCTCAGGCTGTCCCAGCAGTGTAGTGGCTAAGTTCATGCGCTCTGCTTCGGCAGCTCGGGGTTCACAGGTTTGGATCCTGGGCATGGACCTACGCACTGCTTATCAAGCTGTGCTGTGGCAGGCATCCCACATATGAAGTAGAGGAAGATGGGCACAGATGTTAGCCCAGGGCCAATCTTCCTCAGCAAAAAGAGGAGGATTGGCAAGAGATGTTAGCTCAGGGCTAATCTTACTTACCAAAAAAGAATTAAAAAAAATTAATTCCAGCTGTTTAGCATGGCCTTTAAGGATCCCTACAATCTGATTCTACCCCACATCCCAGCCTCATAGCCCATTAGTATTGTCCCTCCCACACACACACCGAAATTCACCTCAAATTCATCTCCTAACCCTCATTCCTCTATTGTCACTCTTTGTGTTCAGCCTTACATTATAGTTGTATACACATTTCAATACACAATTCCCCATACATGGATTGAATGCCTATCCCTATGGGAATGGCCTGTGCAAGGTGCTGGGGACACAGCACGAGCGAGGAACGAATGCTGCCTTAAAGGACCTACGGTGTAGTGGGGAAGTCAGACTCATAAGCAGATTGTTTCAGTGCGGTAGGATGCTCTCATAGAGACCTGTGCAATGCTTTGTATATAGCAATGATGAACAAGTATTTGTTAAGCAAAGTGGGATTTAAGGCCATGTTAACACAAACATGGATTCTAGATCCTTAAAGCTATATATATGCAAAATAAACTACTGCAAGGAAAAATGAAGTAAACATATGAAATGAATAAGACCTTTTAACAAAGTACAGTTTACAGTTCTTTTCTTGTAATATTTTTGTCTGTTTTGGTATCAGGGTAATACTAGTCTCGAAAATGGAGAGTTGAGCTAAATTATTTTTAACAGCTTTATAATATTCCATAATTAGCCAGCATAACCTCCTCTGTCCCTCCTTCCCCCGCCACACACACACACTTTGGGACTCTGGCAGGCCCCAGGCAGCTGAAGATTGAAGTGGGATGAGTACAACCAATTAGTACTAAGAGGAAAGTGAGCCTCAGACACATACCCACAGAGTTGAGTGTGGGCCAGTGAAAGAGGGGCCGCTGCTTTGTTCAGTTTAGTAACTCCAGTCACCTTAGATACCCCAGCATCCTAGCACAGTTCCTGACACACAAGGCAGGCACTCAATTATTGCTTCCTGAGTTGCAAAATCACTCTCTTCTTCCCCCCTCAAAAAGCTGGGGCTGCCTCTTTGCTTACAAAGCCCTATCTTGTCTCTAGACTATTTGTTTCCTTTTCCAACATCTTTTCCTGCCCTTTTCTCCTTAAAGGCTGCTTCCACCTTCATGTGAACCACAGTGATCTGTGAAAGAAGATAGGCTGGTCAGCACAGGGTCTGATTCATCCCGGATTCCAAACTCCTCTGGGGCCTGACTCCTAGGACAAAGTTACTAACAAATGTTGGGTTGTTCAATTCTGAGGAACAGGTCCCTGAGAACCAGGCCCTACAGCCTCAGATCACAGTGGTGGCCACTGTGTGAGTCTATCAAATTTTTAATGCAGCTCAGCACTGCATATACACACTTAATTATCTTCCTCACCTTTGCTCCTTCAAATTGAAAGGTAGGCATCCAACATTACCATCTGGCAATCTCAGCCCCTGGTCTCTGCAGATCCAGCCTCCACTGTGCCAGCCCTCCAATCTTTCCTCAGGTGGCCCTTTCAAACCCACAGAGTTCTGAGCCTTGCAGAAGCAGGCTTTCCCTGGAGGTGCTGGCTGGACCTCTCTTTTTTTTTTTGGGAGGAAGATCAGCCATGAGCTAACATCCATGCCAATCCTCCTCTTTTTGCTGAGGAAGACTAGCGCTGAGCTAACATCCATGCCGATCTTCCTCCATTTTATGTGGGACGCAGCCTCAGCATGGCCTAACAAGTGGTGAGTCAGTGCACGCCTGGGATCCGAACCCGGGCCCCCAGCAGCGGAGCGTGCGCACTTAACTGCTACGCCATGGGGCCGGCCCCCTGGCCCTCTCTTTGGCTGCCCTTTGTTAACAGTTTTTGTCACAATACATACAGTATTTGAAAGTAACAGAACTAGCCTTGTTTTAAAGCTTTCTACAACGCTTTTGCTGGCTCAGTCTGCGCTCCCCCAAGTTGTGAATTAGTGAGACTAAGTTTAAGTTCAGGACTCCACAAGCACCATTTTACAAGAGGCCATGTTGTATTATAAAGGCATGACAGGCCCCCAAACACTGGGTGAGGAGGAGGTCCCTGCAGGAGTCAATTCAAGCCAATTCAATTCAACTCCACCCAACCACCTCCTGTCAAGGAATTGAGTTAGTCCAAGATGGTTCTTGGGCCATCAGTTGGTTGTGTCACCTTGTCGCCAAATTGTCTGGGTCTCACCTGTAAAAATAAAGTCTCAGACCTTTGATGATCTTCTAGCTCTTATAGAACATGATTTTACATGTAGGGTCACTCATGCAATATGGAGCTAAGTCACTGTGGGATTTCCTGCCCTTTCCCATTAGTAGGTTTACACAGGTGAAACCTGATTAGAAATAACGTTGAGAACAACCTTTGTTGATTAATTAAAGCTTCTAACACTAAAAGGGGAGAGAGCAATATGGTTGTCAGACAATCAGCCACCATTCCTGTTGGCAGAGGGGTGGGGCTGGCTTGGGTCTTTTTTTAGTTGTAATTAGTGGGGCCACTCTGCGGCCTTCTTCTCGACCATTCCTATGTGGTGGCGCTCCACCCAGACCTTCCTCATGGGCGTATAGGGACACTCCTGCCCCCTCCCCATTCCCAAAGTTTGCAGACTAGAGCAATGGAACCAATTTCTTGTTCTATAAGAGCAGCTCTACCCATATTCCTGTTGTATATATATGCATGTGTCTGCTTAGTATTTGAAAATAATTAATGCAACCTACCCCATCTTGTGGCATTCTTTCTCATTTGCCTCTGAGGACCTGCCCCCACCTAGACAGAGAGACAAAAATCACCCACTTCAGAAACAAAACACCAAGATCGCAAATACTCAATTATTAAGTCTACCTGTAAAACAGAGAGATTTAGGTGAATATTCGTAGAACAAGTTTCTCCTTACTACTGTGGGGCTGGAAAAGAGGAAGAAGGGGCAAGGATGATGAGGACAGAAGATTTCAAGTCTGAGAAACGTCCAGCTTCTTCCAGAGTAAGCCTCATTTCTCACCAGCACCAGTGGGCCTCCAAGTCAGTGCCCTGTTGTCTTCACTGAGGTCCACCAGTTGACAGTGATCGGCACACACCAGCCCATCCTTCAGCCCGTGATGCTTGCCTCTCCTCCGACCTCCTCATGTGGACAACTCCCTGTACAACAGCGCTGGACCCTTCTTGACCACCCAGAAGCACTACCTAGAGGTGCAAGTGGGTCTCTATATACCTCAAGGAGTGATGATGGAATGAAAGGGCAGCCCACGCCCCTGACCAAGATGAGAAAACATGGAACAGTTTGAAATTCTCCACTGAGCCATAATGGTGGAACACATGGTCCTTATTAAATACACACACATACACACACACAGACAAATTGTTCCGTGGACTCCTCTCGATTTTCTTTGCACCACTCCCATTCAACCTACCATTATTTACAACTGGTCTCCCTGCACCTCCCTTCAATCCTCACAGCAGCCAGAGTGATGAAAAACAAACACATTATACAGATGATTTCTGATGGTGTCTCATTGCACTAAGAATAAAACCCAAGCACCTTCCCACTGGCTACAAGGTGCTATGTGGTTTGGGGCTGGGACCCCTTTTCAGCTTCACCAAGGCCCCATCCCCCTCGCTCACCTTGTTCCAGTGATATTGGCTTTCTGGATCAGTCTAGAAGAGGCCAAGCTCTGTCCTCCCCCAGGGCCTTTGCAGTAACTGTTCTTACTACCTGGAAAGTTCTTCCCTTGGTGTTCATATGACTACTCTTTCTCACCAGTCGGATCTCAGCTTGGTTGCTCTCTGCCTGCCCTCCCTAAGACAATTGCTCCTTCTATTCTCTGTCTCATCACCCTGTTTATTTCCTTCACAGCACTGATCACAATCTGTGATTATCTTGTTTATACATTTGTTGACCTATTTATTGTTGGTTTCTCCCATCAGAATGCAGGCTTAGCAAGGTCAGGAGACAGTCTATCTTGTTCATAGTTTTTCTAAGCGTCTAGCTCACTGTCTGGTACATACTAAATAGCCAATGAATATTTATTGACTAAAAGAATGACAACGAATAAAAGATGTGCCAAGATAACACATTTACATGTAATCACTCACACACATAATAACATCACTCATATAGTGCTTACTGTATGCCAAGCATCGTTCTAAGCACTTTATATGTGTTAACTCATTTGGCTCTCTCATAACTCTATGAAGTAGGTGTTATTATTAGCCCCAGTTTACAGTGGAGGAAACAGAGGCGCAGAGTGGTTAATTAACTCCTCTAAGCTCACTGTGTCTTTCTTGTCTGTACTATTAACCATTATGCTATAAAAACTCTGAACAAATAATAACATATTCAGCACATTTTGAGTTTCCTCATGTGGAAGACACTCTTAGCTGCCCACTCAATATCCATCTCAACCCTCCTCCGCTTTTTCTTGCCGACAGAAGCCCACTTTGCTTCAGGGAGGCAATCTAGCCGGCCCCAGCACTAAGCCGGTCTTGATAACTCCACTTTCATTTGCCATTTACTCACATTCTCAGCCTTTTTGCATACAGGGTGACGAGTGGCCTTGTTCTGCCCAAGGAGAGACCAGAAGAAGTCGACTGGGAGACTTCCTCTTATAAAGGAGACTGGTGGGGCTGAGAACTCACTGACACCCTTTTTCTTCTTGCAGTGTATGTGGAGCTGATCTGAAGCAGCAACAGCCATCTTGGGACGATGAGAGGACAAGCATGAGGGCAAAAGGCTCAGGATGGTGGACTCAAACCACAGCAAGACCATGGGCCTGTGACATTGTGGAGCTGCTGAACCAAGCTGGGAGTCACCTACCTCAGACATCTTGTTATAAGAGATAATTAAATATCTGTATGCAACTGTTTTTTTAAAACAGATTTATTGAGGTATAATTTAATTTAGGCACCATAAAATTCACCCATGTTAAGCGTACAATTTTAGTAAATTTACAGAGTTGTACAATCACCACTACAATCCAGTTTTAGATCATTTCCATCAACCCAAAAAGACTTCTTGTGCCAGTTTGCAGTCAATCTCCATTCTTACCCACAGCTCTAGGCAACTGCTAATTTGCTTTCTGTCTCTATAGATTTGCCTTTTCTGGGCATTTCATAAAACACTTTTTTTTTCTTGTAGCTAAAAGTATTCCTAACAGCTTTTCATGGCATATGGATATGCAACTGGGAATGGAACCCACACTCAGGTGACAGCAAAATGAGGGAGAAAGGATGGCCAACAATACAGTGTCGTGGAAAGAGCCCTCAAGACCAGGGGATCCTGTCCTGGTCCCAGCTCTTCTCCTAACCAGCTGTGTGCCTTTGGCAAGTTTTTAAACTTCTCTGAGTTGATTTTTCTCATCCATGAAATGAGAGGATCCAAGTGAATAGCTTTTAAGCTCCCTCCCAGATCTAAGATTCTAAACCATTTTCTTAAGAAATAAAGGTAGCATTTGAGTTATTTCAGATAAAACCCTATTATTCAACTATAACTGATTAAGACCACTCCACCCTTCTATAAATCTAAACAGTTAGTCATGTTAAGGTGGATAATTCTACTAACTGGGAGAACTGAGGGTGTTATGAAAAGTCTATCAAAGAAGGAGAGCAGTATTGGGCAGGAAGGTTACTTTATCTTTTTTTGGGTGTGTGTGAGGAGATCAGCCCTTTGCTAACATCCGCCAATCCTCCTCTTTTTTTGCTGAGGAAGACTGGCCCTGGGCTAACATCCGTGCCCATCTTCCTCCACTTTATATGGCACACCGCCACAGCATGGCTCGCCAAGCAGTGCATCGGTGCGTGCCTGGGATCCCAATCGGCAAACCCCGGGCCGCCGCAGCGGAGTGTGTGCACTTAACAGCTTGCGCCACCGGGCCAGCCCCAGGAAGGTTACTGTATGCAGACGAAAATGAATTGTTAGGGTCATGTTTGTTTGGACCTGTTGTCAGAAAGAAGAGTGAAGGATGCTCAGAACATGTTCTATTTATGGCACATCTGAATGCCTAGACATGAACATTTCTTTTGTAAAAGGGGCACCATGAATTGGAATGTGCTGTCTCATGATTGTAGAGAAATAGGATCATATTTATCTTTAAAAGTCTATTTGTTACTGTCAATTTTTTAAAAGTATGATAATGGTATTGTGGCTATGGATAAAAAAAGAGTCCTCTGGGATGATGGGACTATTCTGTATCACGACTGTAATGATGGTTATGCGAATCTACACGTGTTAAAATTCATGAAAATATACACACCACAAAAAGGCAGTTTTACCGCATATTAATTTAAAAATTAAAATTAAAGAATCTTTACCTTTTAGAGATACATATGAAATATTCATAGATGAAATCATACAATATCTAGTATTTCTTCAAAATAATGTAGGAGGGAGGGAAATGGTGAGGTATAGATGAAAGAAGATGGGCCATGAGGTGCTAATTGTTGAAACTGGGTTCGTTATACCATCCAGGGGTTCATTCTGCTCTCTTCTCTCTTTCTGCATATGTTCAAAGATTTTCATTGTAAAAAGTTAAAAATAGGGGCCGGCCTGGTGGCAACCCCGTAGCGGTTAAGTTCACGCGCTCTTCTTCGGCAGCTGGAGATTCGTAGAGTCGGATTCCCGGCGTGGACCGATGCACCACTTGTCAAGCCATGCTGTAGCAGGCATCCCATATAAAGCAGAGGAAGATGGGCATGGATGTTAGCCCAGGGCCAATCTTCCTCAGCCAAAAAAAAAAAAAGTTAAAAGTAAAAAGCATTGGTGAGCAAGAATAGAGTGTCTTCCTGCTTGCATGCTTAACAGAAGCTTACTTCTGATTTCCAGACTGATGGCTCTCTCTAAAGGAAGGAGTTGTCTATACAGGCAAAGGACACAGCTGTGAGATGCTAGAAGAGAAGCAGGCAGAAGCAGGGGATGAGCACACAGAGTCTGTAAAAGGTATCGCGCTCAAAACAGAGTCCACTCCGAAGTCCCACTGCCCAGTGGGTAAGGAAACAGTCTCTGGAAGTAGATCTGGATTTGCATTCCAACTTCACTATGCTAGACCTGTGGCTTGCGCTCGCTAAGCTTTGGTTTTCTCCTTTGTAAAACAGAAATAATATCTTCTAGGGGAGGTGCAAAGAGTTAAGAGATTTTATTTGAGGGGTTATTTTGATGACTGTCATAAGCAGGTGCTCAATAAATGGCAGCTATTAGTCTGATTTGGTATAAAGATAATTGTTAGAATGTACTCAGCCCAGCTGGATCATATACATAAAAAATCCTTTCTCATATCATGAAATGTGCATAAATTATATAGAGAGATGATATATTCTTCCTCGTCCTTTGCCTGTGTAGACAGATCCTTCCCTTAGAGACAGCCATCAGTCCGGAAAAGAAAGAATGAAAGGAAAAAGGAAAGAAAGAAAGAAAGAGAAAAAGAAACAATGTGAATGTCCATAGCAGAAGAATTTAAGTAATTTAATGCATATCTAATTAATTAACATATTATGGAGTCATTAAAACTTAGAAAGTCTCTGCAGCAACAGGGGAAAGTAATTATGATGAATTGTTAAGTGAAAAAGAGAAAACAATTTTATCTGAACGATGACTATAACCTTGTAAAAGTTATATAAATGCATACAAACAAGGACTAGTAGGGGATGTGGACATATGAAAACAGGTTATTTTATTGCAGTGATGACATTAGGGATGAATTTTTTTAAATTTTAGTTTTCCATTAGTATTGCTACAACATTTTGTGTGTGTGTGAAGTTAAATAATGTTCTTAGATAAAAGAGAGTGGCCAATCTTTCACTGCAGAACTATCTCAGGTTTTCATAAAACAATGGCCTCTCAAGGTCTCTTCCAGCCCAGAAATCTGGTTTTTCCATCTCCTAGGACCACGCTCTGAGACTCCCAGAACAGCTCAGAAGCAATTGCTTGTGCGTGATGTCTATGCTGTCAAAACCCAGTAGAAAAATAGAGTTACAATAAGGCAGAATCAATACCACTTGTGAAAGTGTTGACCCCTAACTCTAAAAGTACTTTCTAAACATTTACTGAATATCTGTTCTATGCCAGTCACTCTCCTAAGTGCTGGGGATACAAAGATGAACAGGACAAAGTTTTTGCCCTCAAAGGAGTTCAAAGTCCAACAGGGAAGGGAAACAGCAAATAAACAGCTACAGTATAATATGGTAAGTGCTAAGGCAGAGCGCAGACTGGGTGCTGTGGGATGGTTAATTAGGGCACGTTTGGGGCAAAGAAAAGGAATGACTTCAAACTGGCTGAAATCAAGGAGGGCTCATTATAAGGATGTAAGGAAATATCATGGAACCCAAGGTGGAAGTGCATCTGGCCCCTAAAGATCCAGGAGACTTAGTTCCTGGATCTGAAATATGTTAGGAACTCGAGTAGCTAGTAGTCTCACCATTTCTCTCTCTTCCTCTCTCTCTCTCTCTCTCTCTCTCATTCTTTCCGGGGAGATGGGGTCTTTCATCTCCACTTCCCTTGGCACATCTATTTTTCTCTCTTTCCAGACTAATCCCATTACTCTGATTTCCCATGGTTCACCGTGGCTTCCCTCAAATGGTGCCAAGTTCCAGACTCTTCATGATCTTCAAATCCAACATCTACAGCTAATTAGAGTCCGTAGGTCCCAATTCCAAATTCCCGAGAAAGACAGGTGAGTCTTGAGTCAGGTCAAAAATATGTTTGACGGTGGGGCCACAAAGCCTGTGTCTGTCTACTCAGCAAGGGGACACGCTTCCTGGAAAAGGGGCATCATGAAGGCAGACAAATTGACCAACATATCCCCTTTGTGGGAAAGCAAGAGACCTAACTCTGCCTAGGGATGCTGTGGTCGGAAGGTGGTTTTGAGCTGAGTTTTGCGTTGATGATGAGGGGTTAGACTAGAATAAAGTGCCGATTTTAAATAGAATTAGGAGGTGGAATCAATAGATTTGATTGGATGATAGAAGGAGAGTTGTAAATTGAATCTCAGTCTATCACGTAATTGCCTTAGCTCATCCTATTTGTGAAGGAACCTTAAACTTCACTGTCTTTGGAACGACTCGAGTTTTTTCCATAGACAAACCCAGTGAACTCCCACCTACCTCAGCAACAGTCCCTTGTATTCATCACCTACTCCAACTGCAGTAAGAGCAGAGTTATGGGAAACAGTCGGATTCCTCTGAGGAATTTGAGAACTCCATCTGTAGTCTAAGCTTTTTGCTGCATGTCACCTTCCAAGTTTACGTGTGCACACACACACACACTCACACACACTCCAAACACTTTCACGGAATGGTGCAGAGCATTTTTGCCTGGTTGTATTTATTTTATTTGTTTTGCATAATGTATGAAATAAATTCACTACTCTATTAGTTGGAGAGAATTACAGCCAGCATATGTGGTGTGTTATACTCTGTATATATGTAAATACAGCCCATTTATAAACACAGTGATTGTGTGCATATGCATGTTTAAAATTTGTTTTTCTTTTTAAACAGAGGAGCTGTCTGTTTACAAATCCTCATTTATGTTTTGCACATTGGTCCTTTCCATTCCCACTGTCATCAGCCTAATTCAGGACATTATCAACTCATCCTCAGTTATTGCACAGACTCCTAACTGACCGTTCTGTCCACAGCCACCAGATTTCGCATCATAAAACATCACTCACATGATGACACTTCCTGTTCATAAACCTTCGTGTTTCCCTATCACCAACCAAATGAAGTCCAAAATCTATATCCTAGCAGTAAACGCCAGTAGAATTTAATACCTATCAATCTTCCAAGCTTCTGTGTTACTGCTCCAGGCTTCAATTAAATTGAACCACTTTACTACTAGATTCCTTAAGACACATGGATCTTTTCAATTTGTATATACTTTTCCTTCTGTATATACTTTTCCTTCTTCCTGGAATAACTACCTTTTTCTTTCTTCTTCTCTAATGGTCAAGCTGATTCCATTTCTTCCACTGCATCTTTCCTAACCCAGCAGGAAGTGATTGTGCCTTTCTCTGCACCCCCAAGATATTTAGCA